CCGTCGATGGCTCTAAATTGCCGGTATCGAGAAGACGTTTTGAGGTGTCAAAAAAATTCGAAGAAGACAATGATTTGTGTCGTCAACAACAGAGACGACTATTTTTTAGGCTAGGGATGTAGTCCTTTGCAGTCGATGACTTACAAATGACGGCACCGGGAAGCTGCACAAGCCGATGGTCGGGAGAATTTTTTTGGGTTAAGGGCCTCTTTTTGAAAATTGGATAATTTTGGGGGATATAATTGTAATTACACAAATGTTAATATATTTCAATTTGGTTCATGGGCTAAATCTATCATTTTGAAATAATATTTATATATTTTATATATTTATATTATTATATTTAACAAACCATAACATTAAATATTAAATAAAAAATATAAATACAAATATATTTTTATTATATCAAAAAATTGATAAATACAAAATAATTATAATTGAAATACACATTATTAAAACTTAAAAATAAGAAATACACACAAAAAATACCCGATCAATAAACTGCAAAATAACGTTAGGCGAATTGCACATTATTGTCTGATAGGATGCACATTTTAGATTTTGATATTTTTTTTATATTATACTTTTCAGCCGTAAATAATATAAAAATATTAAATATAAATATTAATATATTAAATATATTTGATAATATAAATAATAAATCATTTTGATTATATCTAATGTAATTTGATTAACCGACTGACAAAACTAATTTCGTTTTAATTCTACGTTAGATTGATCATTAAAGATGTATATCTTGTAAGTGCACAATATCATTAAACGAACTGCATATTAGTGACTATCACATTGCACAATAATGACCGAACCAACCGACATAAAATTTCAAGTTCAAAATTTTATATTTCGATTCGTTATATGTTCTTATATTTAGATATTAGTTATTTTAGTTCAATATTGTTGGCTTTATTCTGTAAAATAATCGAAATGAGCAAACTAACCGAATTATAAGATTATATATATATATATATATATATATATATATTATGTACTTCGAGTGCACATCATTGATAGACATATTTCACATTAAATACTATAAAATTGCACAATAGCGACAATAGCAGCCAAACTAAAATTTTCGATTCCCAATCATCCTAAAATTTTATATTTTCGGTTCGACTATTTGTTTTTCATTTCAATGTTGGTTTTATTTTTTAAAATAATCGAATTGACCAAATAGACAGAACTATGTAAAAATTATTATTACATAATTATAATAATAAATATTATATATTTTTATGAAAAAAATATTATTTATTTTTAACTATAAATATAAAATGTAATAAATAATAAATAAAAATATTAAAATATTAATTATTTTTAATTAATTACAAATTTGACCCATGGATTAGATTGGAATATAATAAAATTTATAAAATTACGATTGAACCCTTGTGACTTATCAAAATTTCAAAACACAGGCCCCCTTATTTCTCCTCGTCACAGAGCTTCATGTTTTGGGTCAGATAAGAGCCACAAGGCAACATGATCCTCTGCGTAGCACGCCTCATCGTCGTCGCCGCGTGCAGAGGACGAGGTGGGGACTGCAGATGACGAGGCAAGCGAGAGGGTTGGCAAGTGACGTCGTCGTCATCGGCATGACAGAGCGTGACTGATTGATACTAGCAAGTGA